GTTAGTTGTCGCCCAGCCCGCAGCTCAGCCTCTGTCAGTGAGGCACCTTGCGCCAAAGCCCAAGAGGAAGCGAGACTCCTAGTGGAGTGAGCCATCAACCTGGGTGGGCAAGGCACGTCCTGGGATTCATAAGCCTGGACGATAGCATCCACTAGCCAGTGAGCCTGTGGTAGACCACCTAGAACCTCCGCGTCCCGTCCAGGGACCATACATGGAGTCTCCAGAGGTCTGGACGCGGGTGCCATAGAGTGCCCCGTCTCTGAGAAAGCAGGTCCTTCTTCAGAGGAATGGGCCAAGGAGGTGCTGTCGCAAGGAGCATGAGTTCCGGGAACCAGGTCCGGTTGGGCCAGTACGGCGCAACTAGCAAGACCTGCTCCTCGTCCTCCCTGACTTTGCACAGTGTCTGTGCAAGAAGGCTCACAGGGGGAAACACATACTTGCGTGGGCCCCAGGGCCAGCTGTGTGCCAGTGCATCCGTGCCGAGGGACCCTCCGGTCAGGGAATAGAACAACTGGCAATGGGTCGTGTCCGGAGAAGCAAACAGATCTATCTGAGCGGCTCCGAAGATTCCCCATATCAGCTGAACCACCTGGGGATGGAGTCGCCATTCTCCCGGAAGGGGCGGCTGCCGTGAGAGCTCGTCGGCTGCACGGTTGAGCACACCAGGGATATGAATGGCCCGAAGCGACCTCAGATGCTTCGACTCCATAGGAGGAGATGGCGGGCGAGTCGCGACATACGACGGGAGCGTAGACCACCTTGATGGTTGATGTACGCCACGGTCGCAGTGCTGTCCGTACGGACCAGTACACGCCTGTGCAGAAGCAGCCCCTTGAGGCGGCACAAGGCTAAGCGTACTGCTTGCAACTCTAGGCAATTGATGTGCCAATGCAGCTGAGGCCCCATCCACAGACCTGAGACTGCATGCCCGTTGTACGTGGCCCCCCATCCATTGGCAGAGGCATCCACAGCATGCCTGGACACCTGGACTAAGGGCACTCCGGCCCGTAGAAAGGCAGGGTGCGACCAAAGACTGAAGGTTTGGCGACAGTGCGGGGTAATGTTGACCCCTCTCGTAAGAGAGCATAAACCACCCACGAACACAGTCTCAGCATGTTTGCGATGCGCTAGAGGAGTGAGGGTTCCGAGGAGGTGGTCTCGCCAGAGAACACTCACTGTAATCCTCTAATCACCAATGCTATTAACCAAAATAGCCCTCCACCGTTGGCCACCAGAAGAGGAACTAGATCGGGGAACAGTCAAAGGCGCGCATCTAGAGCGCCGACTGACGCGCGCTGGGTTGCCGTGACAACCCGCGCTGTCAGCCGGCAGCTCGACGGCACACGGCACGCTGAGCGGCTCAAGCCTTTACGAGAAAGGGAAGACGAACAACGTGCCGACGTGATCATGCTCTCATGAGAGAACATAAACCACCCACGAACGCAGTCTCAACATGCTTAAGCCCAGGCACGCGAAACAGTGATCGTGGCCGTCAAATGAGGACAGGAAACGACCGCATCCAGAAACACACGGGTGAAACGCCATCCTGAAAAGGACGCGATCTTCACCCGTGTTGCTCTTTTCACAGAAAACGCTCTCTTATTGTGCTGAAGCACACAGGGATAAACGCGGCAACACAGCGGGGAAACTGCAAGCCCGCTGTGCGCACTCAACCGAATACCAGCTGTGACAACAGCTCTTTGAAAAAAAGGCAGATCGCGTGAAGCAGCAGCCGGTACCCGGGAGATCGCGAAGATCGCTGAAGCGCCGTCACACCAACACAGAGAGGTCTCAGAGAAAACAGGAGACTCGTTGAGCGTGAAGATAAATTACTAATCTTGAAGCTCATCCACTCAGAGGACACACCGGTCGGCTCCGAAGCTAAAAGCAATGGTATGTGCGTTCGCTTCCGCTTTTATACCCGCATTGCTAGGCGGGACGCGGAATGCAAATCCCGCATGCCAATATTTATTGGCTCGTTTTAATTCACTCGAAGGCAATTGGTCTCCCTAGCGTGATCCCAATTCGTTGGAAACTCCTCAGACGAGACGTAGGAGTTCCCATACGAAAGGGAACCTACATTTATCAGTTAGAAAAATAAATGTTGATGTCAGTATTTCAGCCAAAATCACAACGTTGTTGGTAATTTTGAGAACAAAGTATGGATTTGAGTACCAAGCATGACTTACAGATGAAAAAGTTGCAATTGTGAGATACAATGTGACATTGCGATATATTAAGATTCATTTGCGAGATATTAAGCCACAATTATGAGAAACAAAAATTACATTTGGGAGATATGAAGTTGCAATTATGAGATTTAAAGTTACAATTGCAAGCTATAAAGTCGTAATTAATAAAAAATAAAAAATTACTCTCAGGGTTAGCTTCCACAAAGCACTAATTTTACGAACGATTACCACAGAAATTAATTCTGCTCACCGTTTACGATGAGGCCCCTGATGTGCATCCATTGCTTTTCATTTTGCTGCACTAGTGCCAAAGCCTATATTCATCAGTCAGAAAAAAAGAAAGCAATTTTTCACATCAATTTAATTTCAGCTAAAATCAAATGCACATTATTGTAATTGCGAATTTGATAACAAAAAATAAGAGATTTCCAAGAATGACTTAAAGGCATCATAAATTATTTGCTATTTTATTTTGTGAACCTAAATATAAATCTTTGACAGAAGACATGCTTTGAAAGACAGAATGCCCTGATCAGCTGCCATTTTTTGTCTGTACTGTCAATCATTCAGATAGATGTTCAAACGAAAGGCTGTTTTCGGAGAATTGAATTAAGGTTAAATGTACCATGAAGATTTTCTAGTAAAATGCATGTATTCCCTTTTGAAGCTCTCTGATTTCTCCAAAGTAATGCTGTTGATAGGCATCATTAGATATTATCAAGACTAAATAAGTCTTGCTCCATTGTTATATAAATAGTTTTTTGGCTCTGAGTCTGTGTGGGAAAAGTTGTCAGCTTCAGGGATTGCATCCCCTGGAGATAGACACTACATAGGAGTGGGAAAATTCTGTACGGTTCATGTCTGTATCTACATCTGCGGGCTTTTTCAAAATGTTTCCCTATATTGCTTTATTTCTCTCAAGTTGTATAGCTGCAATATTGTATGTTAGCTAAAACAAACAGGAAGTCCCTCCCTAAACATATGCCATTGGTTGATCCAAAAGCTGACATGTCGGGCCACTCAAAGTAAAAGTACCATAGTGTTTGATTCTTTACGACTTAATGAAATGGCTTAAAGTCCCCCTGTAATCATTCATTGTATCCCTTAAACCTCACCTTTAATCACCAAAATGACATATTTAAAGTTTTTTCCTTGAAAAAAAAAACTGCCATGCCTTAAAATAGCTTGAATGTAACTCTACACCCTTGCCTCATTTAGTATACACAGTTCTATGAATATGCAAATTAGCCCCGCCTCCACTCACTCACACCAGCTCAGAGATCCACTCGTTGACGATCACATGTTGACGTGATTGGTTACAAGGTAGTTTGTGACGTCAGAAAAACACTAGTGATTTCAAACCGCTTTTTTGAGACTGCCGTTGCTTCACTGCAGTTTTAAGGAGAAAATACTCAGCAATGGTGTTGACTTTTGAATTTGCACATGATTTGTCTTAAAGTATATTTTAAACACCACATAGACCTATAAACAACATTTAAAGCTTGATTTTCACCACATCAAAGTGATTGTTATCCTGGGAAAACCCAGACAACTTCCGGCAAATTTAGATTTACTCTGAAAGTTAGTCTGGCAAAGAGCTCATTCAAGCCCATTTCCAATCCGCCGAAATCGAGGCACCAATCAGAAACGTTGGGGCGGGCTGTACACGATGACGACATCGCTGGGATTTTGAAGCAGATTTTGTAGCCTACATTACAAAGATGGATGCCGCCGTCGAACATCACTTGTTCGAATCAGCTATCGTGTCTGTTTTAAGCGATTTGAACGTTTCCTTTTTGCTAAAAACCGAGCAAAGAACAACACTCGGAGAAACTCCGCCGCTCTGCATACGTCATCTCCTTCATTGCTCTGATTGGGTTTAGGTCTATCCGCGACGTCCGTTGGTGACGCCCCTCTGGAAATGATTTGTCTATGACGCTTTGCCAGACCATAACTCAGTTACAACTGAGAATGGTCTGGTTTTAACCAGGCTAAGTGATTGTCCCTTTTTTAAAGAATAGCCAATAAACTTTAGATAATGTTGCAGCCATGTAATATGCTTTGCTGCTTGCTATTGCTAGCTAGAGGCTTGTGGTACAGTATTATGGCGCAGTCACACAAAACTTCACTAAGTAGGTTCAATGTCAGTTGTGTATCGAGTAGTGGTCACTTCCGAACCAAGCAACTGTATGTTTGTAAACCCGGCGAATTTGCATGTTAAAAGTTCAACAAACAGGCATCCGTTGTAATCTGCGTGGAGAAATGTTTGCGTCATGTGTTTCCTCACGCAGAATTCTCGATCGTGAGGATTCCTATTGATATGACTTAATTTCGCCCGCAAAATGTTGATGTACAAAGGTAAATGCGACCTCACCTTTAAAGAGAGGGACGTCCTCATTCTAGAGCATTTGATTGGACACAAATTTGTACACGCCATAAGTAAAGTCAGTGTTCATGGTACATTTTAAATGCGTTCATCAGATTAAATTTTTATTTTTATTTTTGTATTTACACAAAATATCTTTTCAAATTTTCTTCCATATTGTGACATACATACTAATGTAATTTTTGGAGAATGAAACACATACATAGATGAATTATTCACAATAAGATCTATAAGATGCATTTAGAAAAAAAATGTTTTAATTTCATTTCGACTTTAATCTTGCCCTCTTTCTCTCTATAGGGGAATGTCTTTTCTTCACAGGACTTGTGTCCTTCAGGGGCGGCCACAGCCAGTGGAGAGTGCTGCAAACAATGCCAACCCGGGGAGGGAATGAAGAAGCCCTGCGGAGCGACACAGACAGAGTGTGAACCATGTCTTGACAGTGAGTATCCACAGAGATGTTGGCCGTACTGTTGCTAAAATGAAGCAGCTGCCTTATTTAAAATGCCATTTCCTGTGCTGAACTCTCACTTGAGGGGAGGCAGAGGGCTTTTGAGCTGTGAATGGTAATTAGTAGTTAAAGGGGAAATGCTTTTAGGAAATGAGACTTGACAAAACATTGTCTGGAGTGCGTAGAGACCAATCTGGGTGTTTTCAGCCACTCACAGCTCTAAGTGAGATTAATCAAGGCAAAATCCTGTGGTACATTGTGTTTGTTGCACTGGTAACACTTACAGAGTGTTTGTACCGAGGTTTGGGAGTTGGAGTTTTTTTATTTACATACTGTAGGCTGGTCCTGAGCCAAGTACTGGTCCAGAGCCTGCCAGAATCCCACCACTTCCAAAATGATCTCCCACACGTCTGCTTGCATGACCCAGCTGAACAAGACAAGATAGGAGGAGAGAGATGAATGGAAAGACCGATTAGCCATAAATGTGACCAAAAATAGTCATCCTTTAGTATGTATTTTTGTAGAGATTCATAGCTCCTTAAAAAAAAGACATATATATATAAATATGTTTATACATTTTTATATAAATACTTTAAGGTAAAACTTTTAATTTGACATTATTAGAAGTGTATTTAAGTATGTTAAGAAACATTCTTTGACTTTGACTTTGACTTTGACAGACTTTATTGTCATTCAGAATACAACAAGTGTATACAGAACGAAATTTCGTTTGCATAGGCCACAAATTTCTTACAGTTTCAATTTTGCAGTGTAAATGTTCATCCCAAAAATCTGTACAAACAGATTATAATAAATATATAAATAGCAAAGTAGAATAAATAATTTAGCCATCTAAACATCTATCTCAATATTTGACAGTAGTCAAGTATAAAACCAGCAGTACTAAGTATTATTTATTAGTGTTCAACAGTCTGATGGCTTGGGGGACAAAGCTGTTATAAAACCTGGAGGTCCGACACCGCATGCTGCGGAACCTCTTTCTGGAGGCCAGCAGACTAAACAGACCGTAGTGGGGGTTCTCTCTGCCCTCTCTGGAGTTCTCATTTATGTTTAATTTATGCATTGATAACTTCAATGAGGCCCAAAAGTCTAATGGACATGCATTTACATAAACAGAAAAATATCTCTCACAATAAACAGAAAAATATCATGTTTGAAACATTTTAAAGTTGTCACAATAAGAGGTATTGATTTTAGATCGCGTATCTAATTTGGGACATTGATCATGTGGATCTCTGGACATTACGAAATTCATGGTGTTTTTTTACTTTAAAGTGTTATGCTAATAAATAATTTGTAAATGATGAAAATGTTGTATTAAATTTGAAAATAAAAATGCTCTCAGACATTCTGAATGTTTCTATTAAAGTGCTTTTGATGAAATAATAGACACAAATGAGACAATTGTTGACCTACATTAAGACCCTTCTGAGATCCCTTCTGAAACTCTAGAGACACATGATTGATATTACTGGGGTCTTTTCTTGGGAGAAAATCAAGAGTCAGAGACTTCCAGGAGACATTAAATAGATTTCATTTGTGATTTTCTTACCTATGGGATATTAGCATATAAATGGTTTGTTCAACATATTATCACATTGACAGATAATCTAAACTAACCTACTTTTGAGTTCTGTGCATTCTTTTTTTGTTAATATTTAGTAGCCTTGGGTGAAGGTCAGGGAAAGGCATGTCCACAAGACCCCTCGACATTAGACCCACCATCCTCCTGTCATTCACTACAACCCTAAACATTCTTCCATCAGTAATTTCCATCTCTTTGTCAGGCCTTCCCTAAGGGCCTGTGCTGGGACCTGCGTTCCTCATCCATCAACTTTAACTGTTACATGCTGAAAACTCCAAACTGTTCTTTTCACAGCCTCATAAGTCATCTAATGCTACTTGACAGCACATCAGCAATAAAGTGTTGACATGAAAAAGTACCATTTGGGATGGTAGGCTACTGGAATGAAAACAGATGTTTAAGATATGATAATTTACGATAACTGGCTCAAATTAATTCCTAACACATAAGTGCTGCTGTGTAATGTGAAAGAACCAGGTGTGTTTGTTCACCATTTGACGTTCTCATAGTCTCTAAAAAGAAAAGAGAAAAAATACAATGAGCATCCTGTTCAACCCAACACAACGACATTGGCTTAACCAATGGCGTGAGTTTGGCCCGTTGCACTACAGTGCAATAACAATATATTTATAGGTGGCTTTTTAAAGTAGATTGGCCCCACCCACTTAACGTCCACTTAACATTACTGACTGTAGCCCGCAGGGAGATTTTTTTTTCCCTTCATCTGCCTTCTGTTTACTGGCAGTTGTCACTAAATTCTCCCATTACTGGACTGTAGAAGAATTCAGAAGACTCTGTTGCTTCAGTATTTAGCAGACTTGTGTTCCTCATTCAGTGCTTAAAGGGATACTCCACCCAAAAATGAAAATTCTGTCATCATTTACTCAGCCTCAAGTTGTTGCAAATCTGTATGAGTTTTTTTCTTCTGCTGAGCACAATGGAAGATATTTTGAAGAACGATTGGAACCAAACAGTTGTGGGGCACCATTGACTTCCATAGTAGAAAAAAAAAATACTATGAAAGTCAATGGTGCCAAAGTACCAATCGTTTTTCAAAATATCTTCCTTTGTGTTCACACTTAAGTGTTTTCCATTTGAATTATGTGATATTATGTTCATGTCATTACAAATAATACCAAGACAAAGTATGTGACGTATTTAATGTCAAATAGCCTACTGTATTTAAACATATGAAATTCAAAACAAACATTATACAACATTATTTCTACAACAAAATAATCTTAAATTAAGAGTCAACAAAAAACTGATGACTTTAAAGCCCATTGCATTGCATGCTATATTACAGACAACTACTCACTGTATTCTCTGTCATACTTGTTCTGTTGTCAAATTTCTTATTCTTTTTCATAGAGAAATTAACATGTCACCTGTTCAAGGCTTTGCAATAAATGTTTATTTTGAATTTCATATGGATAAATACAGTATATTTGACATTAAATGCCCATGCCTCTGTGTCTTTATAGAGCTAATAGCACTTCCCTGTGGAAAGCTGGCATACTTGATGTAAGCAGTGAGATTTGAGTGGTATAGGAATATCATTGGGGTCATCAGGTAAGCACCCTCTTTCATGGATGTTTCGTTGACCCACAACATCTCCAGAGGGCTTGATGGTGACACCTGGCTTCCCAGGTACACCCCCCTCAACTCCATATCATCCCGCCTGATCTTGCCGCCCAGTTGATGTCATTCATTTTAATCCACAGCCAATAGCTGCTCTTTTTCCACTGCATTCGACAGGGACTTGATTGCTTGTTGGAGAGAACGACTCCTAAAACCCCATTTCCCTCAGTAGACTGGTTGTGGATGTGGTGACAAAACCCCTGCATTCCACTTCCACTGGAAAAATAAGTGCTATTTAAGTGCTATTTGTAACAACATGAACATGAAGGAAATAATATTATTACATAATACAGTCAAATGAGAAACATTTTAAAATACAGTTACACATTGATTAATATATTTTCAAGATTAAAAAAGTTTAAAGTATTTGTTCTCATTAGTTTCATTAGTTTTAGCAGTATGAACTAACAACAAAATATTGTTTGTATTATCCATTAATATGATTCTTGAAAAATAAATTCTGTTCATTGTAGGCTACATCATCTTATGCATGTATGAACAGAAAGTGAATTTATTTAGTATTTTATTAAGTATTGCTGTTAAATATTGTAGATATTGATCCGATTAAAATCCATGTAAAAATAACTAATATTTAATAAAAGAAAATTACATGTAGCAGCCTATAGACTCTGCCCCTCACTTCCGTCCTGTGACTGCTGGTTTGAAACTGCTGGCGCTGCGGTTCTGCAGCTGAATATATATATCTCGTTTTGGTAAACACATTTGGAGATTTTCAAATGTTTCAATTTACAGTGTATTTTTGCAGTGATGAGAAATGTAGCCAATCCCAGACATGTCTGTTGATCTCTTGAACGCAGTGGCCAATCAGGGTCGTGTAATTTAGTCAGAATCCACTCACTGCTCAAAACGCATTAGTTTTTGTTCAGTACTGAGATCTGCACGCCCGTGAATACTCTCATTAACAAAGTATAGACACAAAGTAAATAAGAGATTCATTGTGCAGTGTAGACAACTTAATTGATTATAACGGAACTTTGTGAGATCGCAAACTGAAATGAGTGATTGTAAAGGGAGAGATCTTTCTGTGCTTTCTTGGATATAATCCATATTGAACTTGTCACTGCCAATACACACAACATACTCCCGACATGCATGAGCAAGCAAGACATGCCGCTGCTGTACATGAATGAATACATGAATCACCCCTGTAGCAGATCTATACAGGTGGAACTGGGGAAGGTGGAGGGTTTCTGAAAGGAGCTGCAAACTGATACAGCAAACAATAGGCAATAATTTGAATGTTGAGCAGCAAGTTCATTGGTTACTAATACAGCGGGAACCATTTAGCTGTGCCCTATAGAGAATGATGTAATTGCATTTAGATTGGGTTAAGGACCTATGAGTCTGCACCATCTAGAGTTTCATGACAGAACTTTGTATTGATATGATTAGCCTTTGGCTTGACTACGTTATCAAACAGCTAATAATGTGTTTCTAATGTAACACAAACCATGTCCCATTCACCATCTCAGAGTCACACAGCTGCCTTCTAAAAATCAACATCCCTAAATAAAGTAGGAAAGGTCCCATCCCACACGTTGACGGGACTGGTTAAAAGGTTCTTGAAGGTAAAGAGACATGAAAGAGACATTCAGTGTTTAATATTATCCAAGTCCAGATCAGGGGGCAGAGCAAGCCTTTAATAAAATTCAAGAACGGATCCTAGGTGTTACTGAAGGGTTTAAGGGAACCCCAAAGCATGAACCTTAATTTCTCTAATTTATTGTAGAAAAATATGCTTTGTATCCATCTATTGTGAGTAGGGGAAGCAGCACACCTCTATTTAAGGAGAATATACCTTCTGGGTAATAGACTAGTAAAAGCGACCTCTTGAGCAATGGGGCTAGAGGAACCAGTGTAGAATACCAAAAAAAGCCTTTAATGAATTGGGGCTGAGTTCAACATTAAGTGGTTTTCCCAGTGCGCCAATTACATTGGACCAAAAGGTTATAAAGTTAAAATATGGATATTTTTCTTACAAAAACACATTGCTTAAGAAGGCCTTTATTTACCCACTGGAGCCGTATGGATGACTTTTATGATGGATGGATGTGCTTTTTTGAGCTTCAAAATCTAATGGCGCTTTTCCACTACACAGTACCAGCTCGCCTCGGCTCGGCTCGACTCGCCTTTATTTGGTTTTCCACTGTGTAAAAGTTGTACCTGTACCTGCTTTCGGGTACTTTTTTTCGTACCACCTCCGGCGAGGTTCTAAGCGAGCTAAGGCGATACTAAAATGTGACGTGAAAACAATGCCGACTGCTGATTGGTCACAGAGAATCTGCGTCATCATTGCACGCGCCAGATGGAGTATCCAGAATAACCCCGCCATTTTTAAATAGTTTGGCCAGAGATAGTTACTAAACTTACTACTATTATTATGGCAACTCGGAAGATTACGCCGTGGTCAAACGAGGAGGTGCAGACATTCCTTTGTTTGGTTGCCGAAGAGAGGATCCAGCGAGAGCTTGATGGGGCAACGAGGAACGAAAGGCGTCGCTATGACGACCGGGTACTATTTGTGGCGGTACTTTCTGCAATGGAAAACGGAGCGAAAAGCGAGCCGAGTCGAGGCGAGCCAAGGCGAGTCGAGTCGAGTCGAGCTGGTACTGGTAATGGAAAAGCGCCATAAGTTACTATTCACTCCTATTATAAAGCTTGGACGAGCCAGAATATGTTTTAATATAACTCCAATTGTGTTTGGCTGAAAGAAGTAAGTCATATTCACGGATGGCTTGAGGGTGAGTAAATGATGGGGTAATTTTCATTTTTGGAGGAACTAACCCTTTAACTGTGCACTGGCTCGAAGGCGAAACACTGCTGAATCCGCTTTCTCTCCAGCAAGAGAGATCTCCTCTCTTTTAGATCAGGAAAACGCTCTTTGTGAGGCAATTGGAAGAGAGTGATCACTGTACGCAACCACTCAGCTCCTAAGCAAAAATCTGAATAAGTGGATGCTTGCCGCCATCTTAAATATACCCGTATATGTGGGGGAGTGGCTTGGCATTAAAATTCCACTCGCCCATTTTCATTGCCCGTTTTTCTACAACTCCCAAGTGAGACCCCATTTGCCAAAAAACACCAACTTTTTTCATGAATATTGCACCTTTTCAGTATTTCAAATGTTTATATTGAATTTTCATTAAATATTGTTTACAAGTTCTTAAAAAATCTGCAGTTTTGCATTGAAAATTTGTGGTATTATAAAGGAGCATTATAAATCAAGGAGCATCTCGATAGTTAAAGGAAAGGTAGTAGATAAAACATTCTTCATTAATGGTGAGGCAATACCAACAGTTTCTGAGAAGCCAGTGAAGAGTCTTGGGAGATGGTACGATGGGGATCTAAAGGACACAGTTCGGGTGGGAGAAGTTAGACGACAAGCAGTGGAAGGGTTGAAGAGCATAAACAGCTGTGCTCTACCTGGTAAACTAAAACTCTGGTGCTTTCAGTTTGGTCTACTGCCGAGGTTGCTGTGGCCACTGACCGTGTACGACGTTTCTTTGACAACAGTGGATAAGCTGGAAGCGTTGATAAGTTCATACATCAGGAAATGGTTGGGAGTTCCAAGCTGCCTCAGCAGAGTAGGACTTTATAGTAAAGGAATATTGCAGCTGCCAGTCTCTGCTTTAACCGAGGAGTTCAAGTGTGCCAAGGTCAGACTGGAAATGACCTTAGTAGAGTCACGCGACAAATGTGTAAGGGAGGCAGCCCCTGTGTTAAAAACTGGTAGAAAGTGGTCAGCAAAGAAATCTGTAGTAGAGGCAAAGGCTGCCCTTCAAATTAGGGATATCGTGGGACAGGTACAGCATGGAAGAGGGGGTTTTGGGCTCAGTTTAGCTCCTCCTAA